TAAACATCATTTCACTGTGTGTATCTACTGTATCTGGTACTGTTACACTGCGCACAGTCCCCTCCCTCCCCACTCTCCTTCACTGTCTCCCCACAGTGTCCTTAACTCTTCCAGTCATTTCTACTTTCATGGCATGTTTACATCTGTGAGGTTATGCACTCTATGAAATTAGGAACCACAAAGGAGAAGAATCATTTGATGTTGTCTTTCTGAGGCTGGCTTAGCTGCTTTATAGGAGTTCCTATAAAGCATCCCTTTTCCTGAGAAAACTATGTAACCTTGTTCTTGGTGACAGAAAAAGTCCATTGTGTATACACACACACATTTAACATCCATTCCTCCATTGTTGCACACATAGGTTGGTTCCATAACTCAGTTATTATGTATAGTGCTGCAGGAAACGCTGATGGGCACGTGTCTCTGTCACATTAAACCTCCACACATTCTTTGGATAAATTCCAAACACTCAGACTCATCATCATTCTGTAAGTTCTGGCCAGCCCAGTACGTGTACTATGTTTATGTTTATTAACAAATTTCTGTACTCTATCTTACATTTTTGAGTAGTTCCAATAAGTACAAGTCTAGGTAGGCACTTGCTTTCTTATAGCACATTCAAGAATTTATCCTAGGCTGGAGAGATGGCTCAGAGGTTAAGAGCACCAACTGCTCTTCCAGAGGTCCTGAGTTCAATTCCCAGCATCCACATGGTGGCTCACAACCATCTGTAATGAGATCTGGCACCCTCTTCTGTGTACATAATTAATAAATCTTAAAAAAAAAAGGAATTTATTCTGTTGTTTTCTCATGCCCTATATTTCTAAGAACATGGCAGCTCTTCCCCTTACTGCTCATGCAGATATGCCTACTCTTTTATTCGGGGCCAAGTATTAAGATTCTTCCTCTTCCGTTTTCAGCATTTTTGAATCTACTTAATTCAGCTGTTCTTCGGCTTCTGCTGTCCTAACACTCACATATCAATGCTTCTCAGTTCTCACGAGTTTCTAGTTATTAAGTCAAAGATCAGAATGCTTCGAAGCAGTTTTTAGGGATGAGGAGATCTGTCAGTCAGTAAAGTACTTGCTTTATAAGCGTGAGGACCTGACTTTCATCCCTAGAATTGTGTAAGAGATCTGTGCTCAGTGGCACACACTTGTAATACCAGCACTGGGCTGGGGGTAGAGACAGGCGTATCCTTGGGGCTCCCTGTCCAGACAGTTCAGATCTTGACAAGCTCCAGGCCAATGAGAGACCTTGTCTCAAAAATCAAGGTGGATGGCACCTGAGGAATGACGCCTGAGGCTGATCTCTGGCCTCCACGTGCACATGCCACATAAGCAGGCACACCCCTGCACACCTGTGTACCCACGTGCACATGCATATGCACACACAAACATACATTTAAAAAAAAGCAGTTTTTAGACTCTTGGAAAATGGAGCTGAGAGTCCGCGGTTTCTATATTCTTCAGTGTTGTTAATCCTCAAGTAATGTCTTGCTACATTCTTTCTGCCCTCGCCTTCTGGGGCTCTTCTACGGTAGCTCCTGTGTTTCTTGGCTCGATTCTATCTCTCCCTGCTGCACCATAGGTACCTTCTTCAGATCCTTCATTACACGGAAATTTCAATTGAATAGGAGAGATTTTTTTTTCATAGACATTTCATATACATCACTGGGATTAAAGGCATTTGCCACCCAAGTTCAGAAGTTCTGTTTGGGAATGGGGTTTCATTCTGTAGCCCAGGATAGCTGGGAACTTACTAGACATCCTAATATGGCCTCAAACTCATGGTAATTCTTTTTTTTTTTTTTTTTTTTTTTGGTTTTTCGAGACAGGGTTTCTGTGTGTAGCTTTGCGCCTTTCCTGGGACTCACTTGGTAGACCAGGCTGGCCTTGAACTCACAGAGATCTACCTGGTTCTGCCTCCCCAGTACTGGGATTAAAGGCATGCGCCACCACCGCCTGGCTCATGGTAATTCTTTTATGTCAGCCTCCAGAGTGGAGAGTTTACAGGCATGAGCCACCACAACCTGGCTTTACAGTGGGTTTGGAAGTCTAGGAATTCACTCAAAGCATTTCATCTGCCTTTAATGATGGCACCATCAATTCAGAAACACTTTAAAATTCATGGTTTGAGGGTGTTTGGAGGACCACTCAGATCATGTGAACACGATGCTATCTCCAGTCTTCTACGAGACAAACTTGCAGGCATGCCTGTGAGGGAGTTTAGAGACTGTGTTAACTAAGGTGGGAAGACCCAGTCAAAATGTGGGCAGCATGGCTCCATGGGCTGTGGTCTCGAATGAAATTGAGGAAGTGAGCCGAGTGAATACCACCAGTCATCTCTCTCTGACTGTGACTGGAATGTGACCAGCTAACACCTGCCTTCTCCACCATGATGCTCTGCACCCTCAGACTGTGAGCCAAGTTAAACCGTTCCTTCCTCAGCCTGCTTTTGGGACAGCATTAGGAGTAACTAATAGAGACTGGGAACCACACAAGCAGCCTGTGGCTAAAGGTTTCTGGGGACTCCCCTTCAGGCCTTTTCTTTTCCGTGTGAAGCCAAGTTTGCTGGCAGGCCCCAGGGCCTAGGAATAAGTGGTAAATCTGTCACTTAGAACTTGTAAATGAGCATGGGGGGGCGTCATCTGCCGGATTAAAATGATACTAATTGGCGAGATTGTTTAGTGGTTAAGAGCACTTGCTGCTCTTGCAGAGGACCCAGGTTTGATTCCCAGAATCCACACGGTATGCCACAACCATCTGTTGTAACTCTAGTTCCAGGGGATCTGACACCATCTTCTGGACTCAGAGGGGCACCAGGCATACATGTGGTTCACTTTCATACAAGTAAACATTCATATACATAAAAATAAATGTTATTAACAAATACATCTTTATGAAGCGTAATATGTTTTGCTTTTTGCATTGTATAATAATTAAATCAAGCTAGTTAATACATTTTTCACTTCAGACTTTTTTCATGTGTATGATGAGAAAGTTAAGATCTATTTTAGCTATTAGAGTTTTTAAAAAGTTTTCTTTAATTAGTTCATTGTCCAAGGTGGTAGGAATTTTTTTTTTCCCAGAGGTGAGGACCAAACCCAGGGCCTTGCGCTTGCTAGTCAAGCGCTTTACCACTGAGCTAAATCCCCAACCCCAGAATTTTTTAATCGATTTATTTTCTTTGTTCTAGTCTTTCACATTTGAATACTTTAAAATTCACATTACTAGCCAGGAGTGGGGGGATGGGGTGGTGAGGAGGTGGTGCGTGCCTTTAATCCCAGCACTCAGGAAGCAGAGGCAGGCAGATCTCTGAGTTTGAGGCCATCCTGGTCTACAGAGTTGTTCCAGGGGAGTCAGATTTACACAGAGAAACCCTCCTATCTTGAAAAATGAAAAACAACAACAAAAAATTCACATTACTTTTCACACTTGAATTCTTTCATACAAATTGAGATTTTTTTTTTTTGTATTTTATGTATATGAGGATTTTGCCTGCAAGTAAGTGTACATGTGCACCACATGTTGCCTGGTACTTCCAGGGGTCATAAGAGATCAGATCCTCTGAAACTGGAGTTGAAGTTATAAGCCACCATGTGGGTGCTGGGAACCAAACCTGGGTCCTCTGTAAGTGTAGCCCCTGCTCTAAGCGGTTGAACCGTCTCTCCAGCCCCTCAACATTTGAATTCTCAACCCACTTAGAGCCCATCTCTGAATCCCATATTGAGAAATGATCCACTTTTATTTTTCTCACTGTTTGCCACTGTCTTAGTTTCTATTCTGTCGCTGTGACAGAATGCCCTAACAAAAGAGCCTTAACGGGGCAAGGGTTCACTTCAGCTCACCATCACCCAAGGTTATGGTCCATTGGTCCATCGTGGTAGAGGAGGTCACAACTGCAGGGGCTTAGGCTAGCGAGTCACGTTGCATCTGCAGTAAAGAAGCGGAGATGAGTGATGAGTCCAAACTGTAGCTCACTTCTCTTTCCCCACTGACACAATCTAGGATCCCAGTCAGAGAATGGCGCCACCACAGTGGCGCCCCAGGTATGGTTATCAAGACGTTTCCCCATGGGCATGCTAAGAGGCACAGGTCCACATGATTCTAGATTTTCGCAAGTTGACAGCACTTATCACAGCTATGGAATCATTTCTTGTCACTATGTGGAGCTCTCTTCAATTAAGCTGCCATATGTAAGTGAATTTATTTCAGAGCTGGGTTTAGGGTTTTTTGTTTGTTTGTTTTGAGACAGGTTTCTCTATATAACCCTGGCTGTCTTGGAACTCACTATTTAGATGAGGCTGTCCTCAAACACAGAGAAATTCTTTAGCCTCTGCCTCCTGATTATTTCAGAACTTTTTTGTTTTTAAATTCTACCTGCCTGCTCCTGTTCTTATGAACTTGTTTTACGGTATGTCTTAATTTTTGGTCCAGTAAATTTCTCCCTTACACTTCTGTTTGTGGTTACTTTTGGCAATTAGCAGACCTTTCTTTTCATTTATTTACTTATTTACTTATTATTTACATTCATGGTATTCATTAATTACACTCATGATATTAATTACATTTGTGGTATTCATTGATTACATTTGCAGTATTCATTCAATAACTGCATTTATGATATTCATTAATTACATTAATTGTATTGATTTATTACATTCATGATATTATGTCCTGACACTACTGTCCATTTGTGGGACTTTTCCATCACATAAAACAGAGATTCTGTACTTAGGAAATCATTGCTCTATATTCCTTTCTTCTCCATCTTGAGATAACATCTAATCTTTCTGTCTCTATGAATTTGTATATTCTATATATCTGATGTAATACAATTCTGTAGTATTTGTCCTTTTTTTAATGTAAAGATTTTTTTTTTTTTTTTTGGTTTTTCGAGACAGAGTTTCTCTGTGTAGCTTTGCGCCTTTCCTGGAACTCACTTGGTAGTCCAGGCTGGCCTCGAACTCACAGAGATCCACCTGGCTCTGCCTCCCAAGTGCTGGGATTAAAGGTGTGCGCCGCCTGGCTTTAATGTAAAGACATTTTATGTACAACTGCAGGAGAAATAATACACAGATAGCTTGAACATAAAAACAGGTTATAATTCAAGTCCAGGGTTATTTTAAACAAGTCAGTTCTTTTCATCTACCATACTGGCCACAGGGATTGAACATAGGTTGCCAACGCTTGGCAACAGGTGCCTTCAGCCACTGAGCCATTTTGCTGGCTCCCACATGGCATCTTACCTGTTTAGTTGACTGTTTTCCTTACTAATGCAAGTCTCTAGAGCACAGGACTCATATTTACCTCTAGACTCTCAGGACTACACATAATAATCTAGGACTTAGGTTTGTTTAATCACTTACTAATTTGCATGTGGGTGCACGCATGGACAAATGGCATGCACGTGGAGGTGAGCACAACTTGTGCAAATTGCTTTTCTCCTTTTACTATGTGGGCTCCAGAGATGGGACTCATATCATCGGGATTGGTGTCAAACACCTGTGCCCACAGAGCCATCTTGCTGGTCCCTTAGGATATGTAATCCATTATTCACAACTAAATAAATGAGATGGTAACTAATGATATGTTTGCAGATGACAACTGATAAAACATATCGCTATCCCCTAGATAAGATGAGATGTGTTGTCAATAAAATCCCCAAACTAGAACGTAACCCTGACTTAGTTTCTCTTTGTGTCTTTCTAGACTTCCAAGCAACAAAACAGATCTCTAACACAGATCCGGAAACTCAGAGGTAAGAATGATTCTATCCTTATGGGTCAGCTCAAGGCTGATGACTGATCAACTGTGGACCTGCTTTAGGACTCTTTCCACTTGAAGTGGAAGAAAGTTGAAAAAGAGGGTGTGCCTGGAGAGTACGCCCATCTCTCTGACATCTTTCCTTCCAAAGTCAGTCAGACAGCTCCATTCTCCATTGTTTCCTTTCCTCGGGCTTCTCTGTCCTTACATCTTCATGTAGAGCCCAAAGTATGGGAGAGGAGAATGGACAAAGATGAACTACCAAGAGTTTGGTGCAGGAGGTCCATTACCTTTATTCCTCTACCACAGATGTGGATGTGGGACAGACATCTTTGAAGGGGAAGATGTATCCGGATCTCTGTGTTCCCCCAGCGCTGCGTTCCCAGTCCGGGCTTCTCCTGGGTCACTTCTAGTACATGACAAAGACAGGATAGTATGCTTAAAAAGCAAAACAAAACTCGATAGCTGTGCTGTACCACTCATCAGCGTCACGATGGGTGTGACTTCATCTTTGCTCCCTTAATTGTTAAATGAAGGGGGTTCTGTTAGATGACGTCAGCAGTCACTATGCTAACAGTTTCTTGGCTCCTGTTACAGTTTCACGGTTGGAAGAAACAGAGATGAACGGCAGTGTAGCTGATCTGACACGGTAAGCAGAGTCTGTCTACAGACTGTCCTGTGACAAATACCCATGCTGACTAGTTTCCTGTCAACTTGATACAAACTGCCATCATTTTGGAAGAGGGAACCTTAATTGCCCCCCCCAGATTGCCCTGTGGGCAAGCCTGTGGTACATTGTAGATGTAACCAACCGTCTTATTAAATAAGAAACACAGAACCAATGCAAAGAAGACAGCCAAGAAGTCAGAGCTAAGAGCAAAAACCTTACCCGTCCTCCTGTGGTGGTCCTACCTCTCCGAAAGAGAGCTACTTCCTGTGTTAAAGTCTTTATATAGACTTTATGCTCTGCCTTCTCATTGGTTGTAAACCCAACCACATGACTGCCTCGTCACTGCCTGTCTGTACAGACCTCCAGGTCTTCTATGGTTGGTATTGAGATTAAAGGCGTGTGTCTCCAATGCTGGCTGTATCCCTGAACACAAAGAGACTTACCTAGCTCTGCCTACCAAGTGCTGGGATTACAAGCGTACACCACCACTGTCTGGCTTTCCTATGGCTTGCTAATAGCTCTGACTCCCGGGCAACTTTATTTATTAACATACAAATAACATTTTAATACAAATAAAATATCACCATAGTATATTTTCATTCTTTTCTTTCTTTCTTTCTTTCTTTCTTTTTTTTTTTTTTTCAATGTATAACCCTGGCTGTCCTGGAACTCGCTCTGTAGACCAGGCTGGCCTTGAACTCACCTGTCTCTACCTCCCGAGTGCTGGGATTAAAGACATGTGCCACCATGCCTGGCTGCATTCTGTTAATTGAAGATTGATGTGGGAAGGTCCAGCTCACTGTGGGTGGTACCACGCATGAGCTAGTGGTCTCAGGGGGTACAAGAAGGCAGGGTGAGCAAACCATGAAAGCAAGCCAGTAAGCAGCTCCATGGCCTCTGGATCAGCTCCTGCCTCTTGGATCCATCTTGCCCTGAGTTCCTACCCTGACTTCCCTCAGCAATGGAGTATGACCTGAGTGTTGTAAGCTGAAACAAACCCTGTCCCCACAACTTGTTTATGTTCATTGGGGTTCATGACAGCAATAGAATTCCTACCCGTGACACCATCTTCATTGTGAATGCTGTACGTAAAATACCTGGCACTCTGACTTCATTTACTCTGAGAGCAATTGCCTCCTTCCTAAATTATCTTTCTATTCCTACTGCAATGTCACTTCAGTTCCACTGACATATTCTGCTGTGTCCAGTATTTCAGGACTTCCTACCGAAGGGACCCAGGAATATGTACTCTGGTCAATAGACAGGAGTCTTCGACGGATCTTCCAACATCTGGATAATGCAAGGTCAGGAAACAGAGTCACAAGGCAGGGGGCTGAGTGGGGGCGGGGGGAGAGGGGGGGAGGAGAAGAAGAAGAAGCAGAAGAAGAAGAGAAGGAAGGAAGGAAAGAAAGTAAAGGAAGGAGGTAAAGGAAAAAAGTTAGTTTGAAAAGCAGTGGAGAACTATTTTGTGAGCTTTATTTGTTTTATGTTTTATCTGTATGGATATTTTTTCCGCAGGTAAGTATGTGTACCACATGCATGCCTGGTGCCCAGAGAGATCATAAGAGGGTATATGATCCCCTGGTACTGGAGTTACAGATGTTTGTGGCCTACCATGTGTGTGTTGGGATTCAAACTTGGGTCCCCTGGAAGAGCAGTCACTAAGTCACTATTCTTAACCTCTGGACTTTTTCTCTAGGCCTCACTGTGTAAATATATGTATATATTTTATTCATTTGTATTTTTTGCATGTGTGCACATAGGTGCCACATCATGTATGTGATGGTCAGAGGACAAGCCACAGGAGTCAGTTCTCTCCTTCCAACATGTGAGTCTTAGGGCTCAAACTCAGGTCATGCCAAGCACAGGTGTGTGTGTGTGTGTGTGTGTGTGTGTGTGTGTGTGTAAAACTTGGGTGTCATTTCTGGGAGCCATCCACCTCGTTTTGTGAAATAGAGTCACTCCCTGGGACTCACTGATCAGCCTTGGCTGTCCAGTGAGGCCCAGGGCATCTACTTGTCTCTGCTTGCCCAGTACTGGGGCACTGTGTTCTTTTATTTTCCTGTGGGTTCTAGGGATGGAACTCAGCTTCTCTATTTGTATAGCATGCACTCTACTGACGGACTCGTCTACTTTGCTCTTGGCGGAGGAATTCTTGACATAAATCATTGATGTTTGTGGATGCAACCCCTCTTTTCCTTCTTCTCTCCCTTAGACTAAAAATATTTTGGATTTGAACTAGACACTCCCTCCCTTCTCTCTAACTTCCCCTACTGATTCCAAAGAAAATGAAAACATTTCTCTTTGTTTCTCAGATCAACACTTATGGAGCTGAATGTTTCAGAATCCCGAGATGTGACTTCTTCCTCCGACTCTGACACTGTGGTTCAGGAGATTGTCCCACCCAGCTGTTACTGTAAAAAGGGAAAGCCTTCTACTGACTACAGCATGAACATTGGGGTGACACCCAAGATACCACGTTCAGCCACTGACAGAATAAAGGTCACTCCATTGGAATTGCTTCAGGTTATGGACTTAATGGGATTAATCCCAGAATCACAGTCGGAGCTGACAGACTCTGTGGGGTTTTCCCCAGAGCCGCCAAATCAAGCAGAAACAGTGAGGATAACTCCTCAGCCATCAAATCAAGTAACTGAAAGAATAAAAGGAACCCATCATCAGCATCAAACCACGGAATTAAAGAGCATGGCCTCAAGACTGAGTCAAGTCACAGATAACCTGGAGGTAACTCCTGTGGCATTGTTTTACGTCACGGATTCCATGCAGATGATTGACAAATTAAGTCCACATGGCATAGAACCAGTAGGAGTAGCCCCACAGCCACAATACCAAGTCATGGAATCAGTGAAGATGGATACCATGACCATGACCTTGGGGTCACAGAATCAAGCCTCAAAACACATCAGGATTACTCCCAGTCCAGTACATCAAAATGCAATGGAAATTAGCTCAAGTGCACTGCCTGAAGCCACTGAAGATACAAAAGTGTCTCCAGTGGCAAAACAAGCCATGGATTTCATGCAGATATTTCCACTAGGACAGCCACACATTACTAAATCTAGGGCTTTGATCCGAGGCTCACAGCCTCCAGCTGAAAATTTGACCCCAGTGTCAGCTCAACCAGATGTTCCGACTACTACTGTCCCAGCAGGAACTGTAGAATCTAGAAGCGTACCTCCACAGCCACCATCTAAAGTACTGGAACCATCAGGAATGACTGATGACCTACTACCGTCATGTCAGTCCCTGCATGCTCTAAAGGTGACCGCGCCAGTCCAGGCATCTCCGACGGGAATGATCACACCACTACAAATTGTAGAGCCTCCAACCAAAGAGTCTCTGCAATTGACTTCTGGGTTACAGGGTCAAGTTGAAGACTCCGTGGGGACTATGCCACAACCTCAAGGCACAGAGTGTGTGTCACTGACTCCAAAGTCACATCATCAAATAATGGAATCCAGGAAAACAATCCCAGCACCACCAGATCAAGGTGCAGTACCTATAGGAAGGGGCCAAAAGCATCAAGTTCCAGAAGCTGAAGTAGTGCCAGTCATACCACTGCTTCAGGAAATGGAATATTTGGGGTGGGGGAGCACAATCCCACAGCCTAAGGTTAGGGATTCAATGGACTTTCCCCCAGAACTACAGAATGTAAAATCTGAGCACCTAATGCCAGATCCAAGATTGCAAAGTGTGAAATCTGTGGACATAACCACAGATTTAGTCCCAGAAATGGAAAAATATGGACCACCAACCTCAACAGTGGTATGTATAGATTTGGCCCCAGAACTGCATCAGCAGAATACACAATATGAGGAATTAACCCCCATACCACAACTGCAAAGTGAGACATCTGTGCCATCGGCCCCTGAGTCTCAGTTTCAAGATATGAAATCTGGCCAACTGACAGTTGAACCACAACACCAAAACAAAAAGTCTGCTGGGTTGGCGGCAGGTCCACAGTTGCACAGCAATATATCAGTACATTGGATCCCCGATTCTCAATCTCAAGGAATGGAAGAAGCTCTTTCAGCCCTATCACAGGAGTTACAAGGAGATATAAAAATGGTGGAGTTGACTCCAAGCACCGGCTCTGATAAGATAGCCCCTGTACCATTGCTTGAGGATACAAAGACTCCATTGGTAGAAGGTAGGAATCTAATTCCTGAGGCACTGGTGGAGAGTATGGAAGTTGGTGAACTGATCCCAAGCACACACTTTGATGCAACAAAATCTTTAGAAGCGACCCCCAAACCAAGTTATCATTTCCTAGAACCTGAAGGACTGACCCTACAGCATCCAGCCTCAGAAGCAAGAGTGACCTCTGAACCTTGCCAGCAGGTGGAAGAATCTACTCCGTTGCCACAATCATCATTAGGGATGACTCCAGCACCATTGAGCCAGACCTCAGAATCTGTGGAGATGAGCTCACCACCACTCCAAGATACTCTTGAACCTGGGACCCAAGTTGTAAAAGAGATGGAAGAGACTCCAGAATCAGGAAGTGCAATTAAAGATACTCTGGATTTGCTACTAGATTCAGAAGTGCAAACTATGACCTCAGGAGTGATGGCCCCAGAGCCACAGCCCCCTGATGTGAAGTTTGTTCAGGTGCCTCCAGAAGCGTGTGCAGAAGTTACCAACCCATCGGAAATAACTCTGAAACCAGAATATGAAGACACAGAGACCTTCAGATTGACATTCTCTAAAGTCGATGATACCCAGGGAACCATCATCGTGAGACCTCTGGAGTTTAGTCTAGAATCAGGAGTGCAAGGTGAGAAATCAGAGTCCTTTGCCCAAAATTTGAAGTCTGCAGAAGTAATTACCGAACCACCCTTACAAGATGTGGAACCTACAGGACTAACTGCCGGACCCAAAGCACATATTAAAGATGTGACCCCAGAGCCACAGCTCCACAAAGTAAAGTCTAGGCAAATGGATAGAGAATCACAGTTGCAAAATGAGAACTCTGTAAATGTAATACAACCGTCATCTGCAGCAGAGGTAGATCCTGAAAAGACAAAACCAAAGTCACGTCTACAAAGTTTATCACTGAAGGAACGGATTGAGGGAACACAGCCCCCAAATGTGAAATCTGTGGATTTAAATCTAGGCCCACAGCAGCTAAGTGTCAAATCGGAATTGATTCCAGGGCCAAAATTGCAAAGTGTCCAGTTTCCAATGTTATATCAAGGGCTACTTCTTCAAGGGGAAAACCCAGTAAATTTCATCTCAGGCCCCCCACATTATGGTGTGAAATCTCATGACGAAATACCATGTTCCCTGGGGCCAGAAACCACACCATCAGATTTTATCCTAGGGCCAAAGCTTCCAGAACCACAGCCACAACCACAACCACAACCCGGGAAGCCGGTAGACGTAAACGTAAGACCATGCTTGCAACATGTGAGATTCTCTGATGCGATCCCAGAGCCCAAGCACCAAGGTTTCAAATGTGTAACATTCATGCCAGGTGTTGAGCTTCAAGATAGGAAGCCTCAGGGATTGATGCCAGAATCGTTTTTGCCATTAAGCCAAGAGACACAGGTTGAAGATAAGAAGCTTGTATTGCCTCTGGAAGCATCAGAGTTTTGTAGCATGAAACCCCCAATCCCAGCCTCTGAACTACAACATCCAAGAGTGATAGCTAAGCAGGTCAATCCAGGACTGTGGCACCAAGATACCAAATTTTCTGAGTTGGCTTCTAGGCGGAAATATCAAAGAGTCAAATTTGGGGAGCAAACTCCAGGACCATGGTCTCATGGTATGAGTCCTATGACTCCAGAGTTAGGGATACACGATCCCAAATCAGCAAAAGCGACTCCAGGGCTACAAGACACAAGGCAGGTGAGTTTTAACTCGGGGCCATGGCTGCAGGATGTCAAATGTTTCGGTGTAATTCCAGGAACTCAACCTCAAGGTGTGAAGACTTCAGAGTTAAACTCAGGGCCACAGTTAGAGTGTGTAAAAACATTTGAGTTGACCACACAGCCAGAGAGGCAAGGGATGAAGCCAGAGTTAATAGTACAAGAGCCACCCTTTATAGATATAAGATATGTCCCAGGGAATCAAGTACCAAACTTTGAAGGCAAAATGTCTTATAAACTAGCATCTGAACCACAGATACCAAATGCAGAATCAAAGAAATTGACTCCTGGGAAACACTTGGCAGGTGCAGATCTTTCTGAGATGATCAGAAGAACACAGGCACAAGGTGTAGAATCTTCTACATTGATCCACAGACAGCATTTGGAACATATAAAACCTGTAGAGAAGATCACAGCCTCAAAGCAAGAAGAGTTAACGCCAGGGAATCATTTGGAAGACAGGAAATCTATGGAGTTAAGGTCAAAGTCAGAGCTGGGGAAAATCATATCTATGCTGTCAACCCTGGGGATACAAGCAGGAGATAAGGAATGTGAGGAGCTGCCTCCGGGCTCCACCTTGAAAGGTTTAAAATCCAAGTTACCCCCTTCAGAACCACAGTTAGAAGACAGAAAATCTGCAGTCTTAACTCTAGGACAATGTCTAGAGAGGATAAAATCTACAGTGATATCCCCAAGTAGTTCCCAGTCAGATGGTATGAAATCTGTGAAGTTCATCCCAGGTTCAAGAATTCAAGATTTGAAAACTGTGGGGTTGGTTGAACCAAAGAAGCAAGGGGAGAGTCCCATGACTTTTGCACCAGGGATGCTGTTTCAAGATAAACCTATGGAGGTGTTGCAAGGGCCTCATCTACAAGATGTAAAACCCAAGGAACTGACTTCACGGCCACAAACACAAGATAGTAAACGTGTGATCATCTCATGTCTGAAGCAGCAAAGTCTAAAACCTGTGAATAAAGCCAAAGCACAAGGGATCCAGGGAGTAAAATTCATGGATTTAGTCTCCACACAACAGTATCAAGGGAGGGCACCAATGGATTTAACTCTTGAGGCCGGACAGGATGACCACATAAGCACAGCAGAGTGGAAAGGTGAGCTGTTCAACCGGCTGAACAAACAGTTGGAGTCGGAAGGTATGTTGTCTATGGGGTCAGATCAAGAACCCAAACCTGCAGGTAGAAAACCCATAGAGCTCACCTCTAAACTACAATGTAAAGATGCACCCTCATTTGAATTGGCCCCTGAACCAGTTCATAATGTAAAAGCTCAAGAGGACCAATATGGGCCACAGGTGCCGAGTATGAGACCTTGTCCATTGACTCCAGAATCACAGGTGTACCAAGTGAAAGACTTGGAGCCAATGTTAGAGCCACCGCTCCAAGATGGGAGAACTGTGGCACTAAATACTGAACCACAAATTGGAGGTACAAAATCTGTTCAGTGGATACCAGTATCTGAGTTTCAAAGGGAGAAATGTATAGCGTCAAACTTTAGGTTACAGTCTCAGAGTGCCAGCCCTACAGAATTGAAGCCGTCTACACAACGGAGAGGTGTGAGGTCATCTGAATTGACTGTCAGGTCAAAAATTCAAAGAGAAAAATCCGGAGAGTTTCATCTTGAGTCACAGTTACAGCAAGTAAAAACCTCTGCGTTAGCACTAGGGCTGCAGAAAACTAAACCTTTGAACTTAACTTCCGAGCCACAGCCTCAAGGGATCAAAACTGATCAGCTAAACAAAGAGACACAGGTAGAAAGTGTAAGATCCATCCAGTGGATACCAAGACCTGAATTCCACGGTGTGACATTTTTACAATTAAATAGTGGGTCACCATCTCCAGGTGTCAAATCTACAGAACGGAAACCATCCATACAACTGGAAAGTGTGAAGACATCAGACATGGCTCTAGGGCCAAAACCTCAAGGAAAAAAATCTGTGGATTTTAACCTTGGGCCACAAGTACAGTGTGTGAAGACCCCTGAGTTGTCCCCAGGACCAGAGCTACAAGAAGGGGAAAACATCACATCAACCTCAGAGCTACAGTCTCAGTGTGTGAAAAGTGTGGCATTACTTCAGGGACCACAGCTTGAAAATACAAAATCTATTCTTTGGATACCACTGTCTGACTATCAAGTTAATAGATCTACACTGAATCTTAGGTTACCACCTCAGGATGTCACAGCTAAAGAGTTAAAACCCTCAGTACAACTAGATGTGAAGACATCTGATGAGTTGACTACGAGGCCAAAGTCACAAGGTAAACAACCTTCAGGGTCAACCCAGGAACATCAGTCTCAGAGGTCCAAAAGTATTGATTTTAACTCTGAGCAACAGTTTAGAAATACGAAAGCATGTGACCCAACCTTAAAGTCAAAGATCAATAATATAAAATTGACATTCAAATCCAGGTTTTGCTTAGAAGACAGGAGCTCTCTTGGATTGAACCCTGGAATACAACCTCAGGAAGTGAATCCTTTAGGGTCATCCCCAGGAACACAGCCTCCTCGAGCTGTGACACCTTCAGTGTTTAAACAAGAGTCACAGTCCTCAGAAGTGAAATATGGAGCAATAAGCCAAAGGCCACAATCACAAAACAATGTAGAGTTGAAATGTGGAAAATCTTCTGAGTTGGCACTTCAGGGAAAGCCTCGAGGTATGAAATCTGAGAAGAGCTCTGGGTCCCAGTGGCAACATGCAAAATGTTCTGACTTGACACCTGAAACAGAGTCCCCAAATATGAAATGTACTAAGTTAAGTTGCAGCTCACAGATGAAAGGTAAACCATGTATTGAGTTAGCTACGGGTACCAAAACTCAATGTGTCAAACTAGGCTGTAAACCTGGGCCACAGTGGCAAGGTATAAAATCTAACTCATTTCTGAGGACAAAGCCTCAAGAAATGGAAATGGAAGACTGGGAATCAGGCCCACAGTTACAAGATCTGAAATCTTCAAGGACAATCACGGGTATAAAGGTCCATGATGTCATGTCTGTGGACTTTGGTCCTGGACCACACTTACAAGGTATGACCTCTGAAGTCATTACAGGGAAGAGGGTTCATGGTATGAAATCTGTAGAAATCAAACCTAGTTCAAAGTTACAAGGTAAGAAACATGATTTCACCCCGAGGAAGATGTCCTTAGGTACAAAATCTGTAGAGCTGGACTCAGGCCCCCCTTTACAAGATTTGAAATATCCTGAGCTGATCATGGGCATGAAACTTCAAGGTGTGAACTCTATGGGACAACATGTCACAAGTATAAAATCTTCTGAGGTGGTAACACAGGTAAAATCCCAAGGTGTGACAGCGGTAGACCTCAATTCTGGACCACAGACACAAAATAAAAAGCCATCTGAGTTGGTTCAAGGGAAAAGGCTCCTAGCTAAGGAGTCTGTAGAGTTTAATCAAGGCCCAAAGTTACAAGGTGTGACGGTGGAGTCCAAGCCCCCAAATGGGGAATCTGGGAAGTTAAACTCAGGCCCTCAGTTACAAGATGAGAAATATTCTCAGTCAATTCTGGGGACAAAGCTTCAATATGGAAGATCTATGGAGGTCAGTCCTGGCCTATGCTCACAGGGTATGAAGTCTTCTGAAGTGATTTCAGAGGACAAACTTCAAAAAGAGAAACCCGTAGGCTTTGTGTATCAGCCACTGTGGCAAGATGTAAAATCTTTAAAATGGACATTTGGTAAGGCACTTGACAGGGAACCTTTGCAGTTGGAAACCGCTCATTTACAGGACAGGAAATTAACTATGTTAACATCAGAATTACACCTTCAAGGTATGAAACCTGAGTCAGTCAACTGTGTATCAAAGTTGAAAGGTGTGAAGTCTGAGCCCACATATATCCACACAATGAAGGATACAGGGATCAATCATGGTTCAGAATCACAGTTTGTGGGATTCTCTAAGCAGGCCTCGGACTCAAAGGTTTATAGAGTAGTGCCTTCTGAACTCAATGCCAGAAACCAGAAGCGAGATCAGAAGTCTCACAAATTAAGTCAAAAGCAACAACTTCAAAAAATAAAACAGATAGCGTTCAGGGATGAGCCACATTTACAACATATCAAGTCGTCAGAATTATGTACAAAGCTTCAAGACCTGAAATCTATGGAATTCAATTCAGAACAACCATTGCAAGATGTGATGTCCTCTGAGTTGGGCCTGGGAACAAGTCCTCAGTCTTTAGACGGCGACCCTGGGCCACATTTGCAAGAGATAATACCTTTTGAGGGGCTCACAGAAACTAAGCTGCCAGATGAGCTGTCTCTAAAATTCAAGCATAAGCCTAGACTGCAAGGTAGGGCATCCTGTGACCCGAGTGCAGGGCCACAGATTCACTGTAAAAATTTTATGGCATCCAACACCAGAACACAAAATGTAGAATTGTCTGAGTCGCACCCTGTTCCAGACCTTCAAGGTATAAAATCTAAGGTGTTCTGCCTGGGGCAGCACTTGGAAGATGTGAATTCTGCATGCACTCCCAATGCAAATTCTCAATATGTAAACTCCAGTGGGTGTAAACGTGGGCCATATTTGCAAGATATAAATTCCTCTGCATGCATTCCAGAGCCAGACCCTCAATGTACAAAGTCTGGGTGCAATGCTGGGTCACATTTGCATGGGATGAGTTCTTCAGCATGCATTTTAGGACCAAAATTGCAACGTGTAGATTCTACTGGGTGCATTCATGAGCCAAACTGGCAAGATGTAAATTCTTCTGTAAACACCCCAGGGCCAAGTCCTCAGTGTATGAGTCCTTCTGTATACACCCCAGGGCCAAGTCCTCAGTGTGTGAATTCTTCTGTATGTACCCCAGGCCCAAGTCCTCAGTGTGTGAATTCTTCTGTATGCACCCCAAGACCAAGTCCTCAGTGTGTGAATTCTTCTGTATGCACCCCAAGACCAAGTCCTCAGTGTGTGAATTCTGCATGCACCCCAGGGACAAGTCCTCAGTGTGTGAATTCTTCTGTATGCACCCCAGGCCCAAGGCCTCGGTGTGTGAATTCTTCTGCATACACCCCAGGGCCAAGTTCTGAGTCGAACTCAGGGACAGGAATTCAAAGAGAGATGCCTATAATAGTTAAGAAAGGACAACACGTGCAAGATTTGAAGCTTGAATCAACTCCAGGGTCATCTCACTTAATGGTAGGGGCAGAGTTTCAAGAGATCCCATTTTTGAAGAACCAACTTGGGTCGTGGCAGGAAACTGCACAACCCACATTTACTTTGAGGCCTCTGTCAAATGGTGTGAAATCTGTGGGAGTTTCACCAACCCCACTGCCTGAAGATAGAATGTCTCCAGAGATGAGCAACCAGCCATTGCTTTGTTTGACAAATTCTGTAAAAGTGACACCTGGCTGCGGTCTGCAGGACGTGAGAAGTAAGGAATCTTCACCAGAACTTTGTTTTCAAAAAGTTAAATCTGTGAAGTTGAAGCCAGGGTCACTGACCCCAAGTGTGAACCCTTTAGAGTTCGCTCCACGCCACTGTTCTCAACGTACTAAGACTTCCTTTGCACCGAAGCCGTGTGTTCATGACAGAAAGCCTATGCAGCTGAGACTAGGCTCCCAACAGCAAAGCATGGATTGCCAACAGTTTCCTTTAAATGAGAAACCAGTGGCATCGACCCCAGAGTCCACCGGGAACTTCTTAGCAGGACCAGCACTGTCTAGTGTCAAATTTTCAAATTTGATTCCGGAATCACAGCAACAGTGCATGAAATCGACGGAATTTACTTCAGAGCCGAAGTGGCAAAGTGTAAACCATGTGAAATTGTCATCGGTGTCTCTGCCACAAACTGGAACCGCTAGGGGGTTATCACCAAGACCATTCCTTCAAAATGTGACACCTGGGAACCAAAATCCCCAAACACGTGATCAAATCAAAGAATCCTCTCAAGTGATATATAGACCAGGGCACCAGTTGGAGGACTATGCTGAGAAGATGAGGCACCAAGTCCCTAAATTCATGGATTTCATTTCATTACCAGTTTATCAAGATGCGGGGTCTTCAGAAATGACAAAAGGGTTGGGACATAAAAGCCCAGAAACAACAGAGAAACCTATGAGGTTGAACCCCAAACCAACAGATCAAGGCCTGGAATCATTAGGGATGCCTCAGCAGCTAGATCTTCAAGGACCAGAATCTGTTGATCTGACTCCAACACTAAGTGATCCAGATTCAAAGTCCTCAGAACTAACCCCACAGAGAAGCTGCTGGAGCCCAGAAACTCTGCAGTTGCTGCCTTGTTTGTGGCCTCAATTTAAAGATGTCAAGGAGTTACCAACGGAACAAGCCACAGAGTCTGATAGAATGACCCTCGACCTCAAGAATCATGTTGCAGAAGTAAGGATGCTAACTTGTGAGTTAAGACCAGGGAAAGAATTTCTTAGTGTGACTTCAAAGCCAGTAAATAGAGAGACTGGACATGTAGAAAAATCTCCAAGGCCGTGTCCTCAAGACTTAGGACCTGTGGTGGTGAGCTCTGGGAAAAAATCTCAAAGGGAACACTCTGTAGCATGGCCACCAAGGCCATCCTATCACGTTCCAGATTCTGCTTCAGGGATAACACCAGGGCAAGAACCTCAGATTCCTGAATCTGTAAGTTTGACCTCTAAGCCATGGCTGCAAATAGAAGAATCCTTAGATTTGTCAACCCAGCAAACCTGTCAAGTTGTCGAAGATACAGACTGTGAGGAGCTCACTTTTGAGTCATGGCAACCAGGGGAGGTAGCAAGTAGGATAACAAAGCCCCAGGGTGCAAGCATGGGAACTTTAAACATAACTCCAATTGAATCACTGGATCAAATGATAAATTTTATAACCATCAGTCCAAAGCAGCTAGGTCAAGGGACAGAATCCGCAAAGACACGGCATCATGTTTCTCAGTCAGCCGCTCTCCCCAAAGTTTCCGAATCTGTGGAAGTTATCTCTGGTCCGCCGTTTCAAGTTCTAGAATCTGTGATGATACCAGAGCCAACTTCTCAAGGGTCAAAACATACTCATTTGACTCCCAAACTGCACGATGTGATAATGTCAGAATTTGCTTCAAGCCTTTGGTTACAAAATGTTCAATCCAAAAAACTAATCTCAGCACCAACACATCAAATTTTAGAAACAATACAGTTGTCAGGCTTTCAAGTTATAAAAACTATATTGGTTCCCAAACCACTGCTTCTGATTGTAAAATCTGAAGAGCTGGCTCCAGGACCAAATCCTCAGGCTATAGAACCAATAGGAGTTGCCACAAAATCTAGCATTAAAGTAATGGATGGTTTGAATTTTCTCCTAAGACCACATCTTCAAGACATGGTAAAACCTATGGAACAAACTCCAAGGGCAAATATTCAAGAGAATTTTGCAGAATTAATCTTAGAGCAAACATCTCCACTTGAGGAACCTCCAGTATTAACTCACGAGCAAAGGCTTCAGGCTGAAAAATCTCTAGGGATCAGAACAGAATCTCCTAAAGTAATGGAAATTGAGGATTTGAATCAAAGACGGGTGTGTGAGGATAGAGACTCAGAAATGATAACATCAGAAAAGTTACAAGCACAGGATTGCTTCTGTAGGTTCATACCCAGCCCTTCAATCCCATTTATTTCAAGTTCTGTCGAAACAACTGAGTTAGGACCCCTTCAGGGTTCTGGAATGCCGGAGGTATCAAGAGCCTTGGCTATGAAGAACTTTGCTGTTGGTATTTTGCCGTCTCCAGAGTCCTATACAGACACTATTATGTTCCATTCATCAGCCCTTCCCTTGGTTCTTCCCTCTGATATTGGGAACACTGTGGGAACCCTATATCCTGACATCTGGGAAATGGATGTCCTATCCAAGGAAGCAACCGAAAAGAAACAAATGGAGGAATCTGGGAATTCATTCCAGAGCTATTCTCCATATCCACTGAGATTACTACCCTCGGAGTTTCAGGCAGGATTAGGGGCTCGAAGAAATTCTATCCGTTCTTTCCTGGGTAGACAACAGAATGTCTGGGAAAGTCATGTCCGTAGGCAGCGACTCCCTAGAAAGTATCTCTCCAATATGCTGATGCTGGGAAATGTTCTGGGAACCACTATGGAAAGGAAGCTTTGTTCTCAGCCATTTTTAATGGATGGATATCACTTTATTCAAAGTTTATTTGGGGTTCCAGCTGAACTGATGGCATTTTCCCAGAGCCTACTAGAGAGGGGTCCTAGGACGATTTTACAGACTTCAGTGATCAGAAACTATATTCAGAGACGTATTTTATGCCATGGTCACGAGAAAAGAATGCCCTTAAAGATGTGGACACGTGGATCCACATCTTCCATATTACAGCAATACTCCGGTACCAGATTGGGAATAAAGAAAACAAACTCAAAACTCAGTGATATATTCCAGGAAGTCACTCAGCATGTGTCTGTCTCGTGTACAAGGGCCCAGTTTCCTGCCTTAGTGAAGCCGGAGTCTTCTCTCAAGATACTTTATAATAGGGAAGACCCAGTTTCCAGTGACCAGAATGAAGACTCACAGAGTGATTCACCGACAAGGACTTTTGACTCTCACCACTCCCTCAAGGCAAGGTGTCTTTCCCAGGCCGAGGGGGATATCTCAGAACAGCTCCATCTGCTAAAAGATCTACAGCTAAAAGTAGCAGCAAAACTCTTAGAGGGTCAAGTACCCCACAATGTCCCTCCACCTTTCTTATCGGGTCTTGTCCTGAAATATCCCATCTGCATGCAGTGTGGCCGATGTTCAGGAGTTAATTGCTGTCATAAGTTACGGTCGGCTTTTGGTCCATATCTTCTTGTCTACCCACAGATCCACCTTTTAAGCACCCATGAAGGCCATGGTGAGATTCGGTTGCATCTTGGTTTTAGACTGAGAACTGGGAAAAGACCTCAAGTCTCAAAGCATCGTGGGAGAAAAAGAGCAGATACATGGAAGAGCACTACATCACCATCACGAAGGAAAGCTAAAATCTATCCTCCAGCTTCCAAGAGGCCAACTACTCCAAGAGATTTCCAGGCCCGATCTTCCCAGGCTTCTGTACAAGTGCACATTAGAAAAAAGCAACGGGGCAGCCATGGGGTGGTCCGCCAGACAGACGCCAAAGACTCTGAGCACCATGAATTCCATCAGGTTCACTCTGTATCCAAGAGTGGCTTTGAAAGTAATCAGGAAGAAAAATGGTCGAAATCAAGCCTCAAAAAGACCTTTGACTTAAACTATCCAATGAAGGAAACCATCAAGGGACTTAAAACACAAAACACAAAGCTCTACAAAAATAGTGAAACCCCGGAAGAGAGTCCTTTTAGAATAATCTGTCCATCAAGAACCAAGAATATTGAAACCGGTCAAACAAGCACTGTTTCTTCGAAGACACAACCTGAGAAATCCTCTCAGCCCAAGTTCTACCAGCTGCTTTTCCAGGGCCTAAGGCAGGCATTCCAAATAGCACATAGAATTGTGGCTTATACTGGACAGAAGCCTGAGGACAGGACAAGGCCAGACTATTTGAGGTCAACCCAATACTTGCACCCCAAACAAAGAGCCAACAAGTATTGTTTAGCAGGAGATAGCAAAGGAGCTAGCACACCAGTTGCCCAGCAAAGGTCAGCAGGTGTGAACCCTAAGTAAGAGGACAGATTGCAGGGAACAGGTTGTTGGAATTCCTGGCCACTCCCCAGCTAAGTGACCGCACATGTGCAGATCAGTAGCCAAGTAAGGGGCCTTACACCCTACGAAATTCCTACGCCGTGTGATCATGAATGTGCAGGGGAATCCTTAAGAAGCCAGTACAGCCTCTTCCTCTTCTTCACCTTCTCTCCCATCTCTCTCGCTGCACATCTTCCACAGGCCTGGTCACATTGTTTCCTGTCTCCCCCTTTTAATAAAACTCTTATACTGGGTTTTATCATGCCTTGTGGCTGTTCTTGTACGGTAACAGCGTGCTGCCTCCACTGCATTAAAGCCAACGTTAGAGTGTGTGATGAAGCAAGCCCTCCTGGCGCTCTGTGCCTGGGAACTTGTGCCAAGGTTTTGCTCCATCTACGACTGCTCATTTTTTTCATTTGCCTGGCCACAGGACTGCTCTGCACAACATTGCCTCTCCAGTCAGTGAGTTTTCCCTTCCACTCACTCCCTTGCCATTTTCCCATGACTACATCCTGAGATACATTTCTAGCTGCCGAACCCTGGGGGTCCTCGGGCTGTGTAAACTCCCAGCCCTTACCTCCATCTTGACGAAGGCTGACGTAACTTGTGCTGATTCACAGATCCTTCTCCAACCTCAGGGATACCTAGGACTGGAGTCTGATCCTGTTTCTTTATTTTATTTTTTTTTTCTCTCAGCTGCAGTCATGGGACATAAGGCTTCCTCCTCTGGGTCTCACTCCTCCTCTGAGAAAGGCCTTAAATATACCAATAAATATGGCCACATAATGGCTGCTTGGACCCCGATATTTCACGTGAATTATCTACCTTCTGCCAGCAAATGGGGAAATGAAAAGAGTTACCTTATCCCCAAGCTTTCTACCTATGCTCTGAACCCTCCTCCCTCCCCATTTCTGATTCTTTCTGTGCCACATGCAACCACTTCCGCCTGTCTGACTTCTGCTCTGCTCTCTGGTATTGGGCGGGCTCTCCAGTATCAGGGGGCCACTTCTGCCCAACTCTGGCTCTCACCTTAGCTCCTCCCACTCTCTTCCTCTCACTGGTTCTCAAGCTGCCCTGAGAGGCACAGACAGGTCTGGAAGCAGGCTAGGACACATGCAAATGAGTTCAGGATCACACTGGGAGCATAAAGCCCAGGTGGCTCTATAGCCAGAGATCAGTTTACAACCTGCCTCCTGGCGGTCTTCCTTTGGCTTCCCTCAAACCAGTAATCCATCAGAATCTAAAATACATAATTCAAGATACGGAATAAAACCTTTCTCATGTCTCCCAGAGCTTCCTGGCATCAGGGCTAACTTAAGCATCTGGAGAGGAGGCCCCTGACCCCAAAGGCAGAGTCTCAGCTGTGGCATTTTAAGGTACCATGGGAGAGATGAGAAAGCCCGTGAACAGAATGGCCAAACGCTGGCACATACTATCCGAGCAGCTGCATAGAGGCTTCCTGGTCCCTGTTTTAAATGTGTGGTGAAAAAGGCCAGGCAGGCTAGTGTGTGCCCTGCCCCCTGGGGCCACCAAATGAGTCTTGTTCGAAGTGGCACCAAGAGGAACACTGGTGAGCTGATGGCCTTCCTGCACCTCATGGCATGGGAGCATCAGACCAAAACCACCTACCTAGGCTTGGCCATGGGCTAACAGGGAACCTGAGAGAGCCATTACAGCATGGGGCGTCCACTCCTTCCTCTTGGACACTGAGCCACTTACTCAGTCCTGAGGGAGTTTTTGGGGTCCCACCTCTCCAGACCCCACCACTTAACTGCATTTTCAAGGGTACTCCTCTCACCCACACATTTTCAGTTGTGCCAACTTGCCCTGTGCCCCTAATGGGAAGAGATTTTCTAGCTAAGAAAGGAGCTTTATTTCACTTGCTCCCCATTTGCCTCATTCCATACCTGTCAGCAGGGCCTCTTCTCCTCCTCATGTACAGTGACACAGACGGGGCCCTGCGCTGGCTCTCTTCTCTCTTCTCTCTTCTCTTCTCCTCTCCTCTCCTCTTCTCCTCTCCTCTCCTCTTCCCTCCCCTCCCTCCCTCCCTCCCTCCCTCTCTCTCTCTCTCTCTCTCTCTCTCTCTCTCTCTCTCTAAGTTCCAGAGGACACCAGGATGCACAGCCTTGCCACCAGTTCCAGAACAATGAGGTCCCAACCCACAAGCTTTTCCTTCCTGGTTCCCTCTCCTAATTAACTACTCAGCTAATTGTTACAGGGCCACCATAGAGCTGGAGGATGAGAACCACCAGATATATCCAGGCAGTAAGGAACAGTAACAGTCAAACTGGATGCTAAACTAATAAAGGAAATAGGTGCCTTAAAATCTGTCTCAGATAAGGTGTACCTCAGGTAAAAATTAAAAGCATGTTCCAAATATCTCTCTCCCTTTATCTCCCTCTCTCTCTCACTAACACCAACCAATATCCAATACAGCAGAGTACTAAACATTGTAACATCATGGTCAACAGCTTAAGGTTTTAAATTTCCCATGGATACTTCTTAATATGTTTAAAAATTCTTCTGAGCTCCAGAGAATCCACCTGGACAGGTCAGCGAGCTCTGGAGCCAGCTTGAATCCACCTGGACAGCACCTCGCCAGACAATTCCAAAGCAGCAGAGGACAATCCATTACCCCCAGGACGGCTGGCTACTTCAGAAGCTCCCTTCCCTACCCCTCAAGAGTTAACCGATGCCCACCAAGTCAGGAAGCAGTTCTTGGGAGACACAGCACCCCTATTCCTGTTCACCCACCCTTTTTTATAACAAGCAAAGAGCCTGGAATGTTGGATTTCTTGGCTAAATGACCACACATGCAGTTCAGTAGCCAAGTAAGGGGCCTTACGTCCTACGTAATCTGTGTGCTGTGTGATCACGTCATTTGTGCACAGTGTGATCATGCGATCTATGTGCATGCATGGCTTAGCTCCGTAAGCCCATGTGCATGTGCAGGGGAATCCTTACGACACCGGTCACAGACTCCTCCTTCCCCTCTCTCTACATGTGTCTCCCACAGGCCTGAGCACCCCTTCTGTCTTCTTCCCCTAATAAACTATTAATAATGGGTTCTGTCATACCTCCTGACTTTTCTCGCATGGTAACAGTGCTGCTAACATTGCACTGCTACCACTTTAAAAACCAACAATCCCTGCTCCTTGTAAGTCACCACTCACCCATGCTCTTGTTAGTGACCCCAATACAAAACTCATTGGTTCATCAAATTGGACATTGGTTTCAAAATGAGGGGACTATTGAGGGGCTGGACCCCCATAGTCCCCGATACCTGATGCCACGAACAGATTTAAATGTTAGGTTGGGGGGGGGGGGGACTGATAAGTAAGGTTTGGAGCATATCCAGGGAGAGAGGTATCGCTTCACAGAGGGTTGCCCAGTTAGAGGCTCAACTCTTCGAGAGGTACAATTTTTGAAGACCTCTGGAGTATCAGCTACAGTCTTCACTGAAGGATGCTGTAGATCCCGGGGACACCAACCCCGCCCCCGTTTGGAACGGTGAGTAGCCATGAATCCCCCCCCCCCAAATTGTCAGAATGAGTCTGAAGAGAAACAGCTTCTGGGGGTTGGGGACTTAGCTCAGTGGTAGAGCGCTTGCCTAGCAAGCACAAGGCCCTGGGTTCGGTCCTCAGCTGGGAGGGGGGAACAGCCTCTGATAGAAGTTACAGAAGGTGTTTCAGTCAGCTCCAGTCAGTTTACAGGCTTAGATAAGGAAACAACAGACTATCTTAATCCCATAAGGCCTCCTAAAAAACGTAAGGAGAGATTTAGGGGACCCCTAAAAGCTGCCAACCTTATGAAATTGACTTACCTTCAGACTATGATAAGCGGCACAGATTCTAACCCCTCCCTTCTAGGGAGAAACCTGCTGTTACTTCATTCGGGGTCTTACAAAGAGATCATCACACTACAAGACCTCCTGAGAGTGTAAACTAGAGCTAATGAAGTTCACTATGTTCTCCATAGTAGCAGCAGTGTCCTGCTACAAACAGCCTGTTTTGCTAAAACTACTGGAATCTAAGGGCTAACTTGAGCTGTAAACCTTCAAAACTGCCCTGCAGCTTACTAGGAGCTCTGCTCCAGCAGCCCTCATTTAAATAATAATGCAGGCCTCACATGCCGGATAGTACCAGTTAAAATAATAATGGCAACTCCCAACTTGTCTATTGCTGTATTTAAAAAAAGTGTCTCTTTCTCTCTCTCTCTTCTTTTGGGTTGACTGTTAAGTTCTTGGTAATTTACAAAAATCTTGGCCAAGTACAAGAACTTCAGTCAACCCATTGCAAGAAAACAGGTCCTGGTGAGGGACGCCCTTAGACCTGTATGGATTCATCAACGTCTGCCGTCTTCTCTCTGAACCTAACTGTCTGCTCTCTGCATCTCAGCTCACTTCAGTCTGTCTCCACCCCTTCCCTCCCCTCTCCATTTCTGGAGGCTGTCTGGCTTGATACAGACTGGACCAACCGGCTGCAGCTGCTACAACAACAAAACATTTCTCCTCCGGTTTAGTTTTTTTTTTTTTTTTTTTTAACTATGCTTATCTCATTTCATGATACACCTTAAAGGATTTATTAAATTGTCATTTTCCTTATATACCATATTTTTAAATAAGAGCTCCTGTTTCTATATTAAAATAACCACCACAAGCTTCATATTTTTAAGGCTAACCGGACAGGTATAAAACCTAAGTTCTAAGTTTACAAAGACAACTAACTTATACATTGTTAAGAATAAGTTTACTTTTATACTTACCTGGCAGGGGAGATACCGTGATCACGAAGGTGGTTTTCCCAGGGCGAGGCTTATCCATTGCACTCCGGAAGTGCTGACCCCTGTGATTTCCCCAAATGCGGGAAACTCGACTGCATAATTTGTGGTAGTGGGGGACTGTGTTGGCGCTCTCCCCTGAGAATAAAAAAAAAAAAAAAAAAGAATAAGTTTACTTTAATTAAAGATAATTAAGAAATGAAACTTATTGATTGATTGGCCAACCTAAACTGTAAACTGTTAAGGATAAGCTGTACCAAAGCTATAAGCTAATAGAGATAATTATTAGGATACAAATTAAAACTTGATTATCTCATGAATGATCAAATTCTGTAATGTATACAAAATCATATTTATATATATGCTAAGTATGCTAAGTTTCATATAACCAATTCATTACTTAGGCCCCTAACATTTAAAATGTTTAAGCTTTGGACAAAACTGCCATATCCCTTATTGCCAGGGTTTTGTCCAAACTAT